CTGGCAGGGGTCCTTTCATGGTGGACAGGCAAGGAAGCATGTAAAACAGAGGTTAAATGGGGACCAAACTTATCCTTTTATCAGAAGGCCACTACCCCAGTAATAGTCACTTCCATGATAATAACATTAATGCATTTATGAGGGCAGAGACTCATGACCTAATCACCTCTTAAAGTTCCCGCCTCTTGACAGTGAAGTGACAGCAATTAAATTTCCAATACATGAACTTTGGTTGGGGGGTGTATAATCAAACCACAGCACTAGACTTACGCCATTATATGGAAAGAATGGATTCAATATTACTAGCCACTTACAGAACACTTACTACATGTTAGGCAGCATTCTTTCACAAGAGTCTATTAGTCTCCTCACATGAGGAACTGCTGACCGGCAAACAAATAATCCTACAGCAATGTCAAACACAAGAGAGCCTTCTAGAATAAGTATCTTAGCCATGACTGACTTTTACATCTTTTTTCTTCTGCATTTGGGTATAGGCCACATGCAGGAACGCGTGTATGAAACCTCTAATCTGCTTTATAATATTTTCCCTCATGGGCATTCTACAGAGTATGTTAGTGGGCTTTCAACTTTTGTCAGCATGCAAGACAAAAGTCCTATGCTCCGTTTCTCTAGGCTCTCATTTGAGTTTCGAGGAACAAGTGTTGGGTTACACTGTGGTCGGGCTGGCACCTGCTTGGCCCTCTGGTTGACCCTGTATTATTTTTGCTAAAAATTTGTTTTTATTTTTTTTTAATTTATTTTTTTGTTTGTTTTTGTTTTTGCTAAGAGTATTATCCTAGTGTGTGCTTCTTTAACTACATTTTATGGATCTACACTCTGTTTAATTGTAATTATATAATTAACAAGCTAAATCACTTACATTCCTAGATTATGTTACAATGCTCCCAAAGAAGACCGGTCTGGGTATGCATGCATAGTAGGGAAGCAAGGCATAGGACTTGAACCCTAGTATATACTAACTCTTACACAAAAATTGTTAGATGAGGCCTACTTCTTTCTTCTATACTCTGAGGAGTATATTGGAATATTCCTATAAGAAGGCAAACTTCACAAAGGTAAGCACTATGCCTCTGTGTGTGTGTATACGGATTTATTGTAACATATCTAATATATTTTATATATAAAAATACCCAATATAAATCAGTGAACAAAATAAAATTCACTGCCTGAGAAGTATCTTTTCCATAGTATAAAAATAGTAATATTACCATTTTCAAAAAAAGATCTGGAAGCATAATACTTAAATGCTATTGGACTTAATTTTCTCCATTCTGTGAAGTTATATTTTGAACTCCATTATTTGCTACAGTTTACTGTGGCAAGGAAACTGGCAAAAAACAGAATACTATGGATATTCTGAAGATAGAGCCCTCTATGTACAACTAGACAAACGGAAAACTTCACTAACTAGAATATTTAGAAACTGAGGTATTATTATGATTAATTTATGACTAATTTTCTGGTTTACAGAGAGCTGACCAGATAATCTCTTTTGCTTCTATTACTGTTGAAATCTTTTCAAATGATTTTCTAGGCTGATGTGTCATATTCCTCTGTGTGCGATGAAGAAAAAAAAAAAACCTTTGAAGTCTAAGTACTTAACAACCTTTCCTGATACTTACCTTTTTTTTTTTTTTGAGATGGAGTCTCCTTCTGTTGCCTAGGCTGGAGTGCAGTGGCGTGATCTCGGCTCACTGCAACCTTCACCTCCCCTGTTCAAGCAATTCCCCTGCCTCAGCCTCCCTCCCAAGTAGCTGGGATTACAGGTGCACACCACCATGCCCAGCTAAGCTTTTTGTATTTTTAGAAGAGACAGGGTTTCACCAGGTTGGCCAGAGTGGTCTCGATCTCCTAACCTCAGGCAATCTGACCACCTCGGTTTCCCAAAGTGCTGAGATTATAGGCATGAGCCACTGTGCCCTGCCTCCTGATACTTAGCCTTTGTGCTTTTCACTAGACAGAGAAAGCTATCTATACAGATGTGTGAAGAAAGTTAGCATAGGGAAGCTGTGTTTGGCTCATGCGAAGGTATTGAATAAAAGAAAATCCTATACAATATTTAGTTAAGAAAAAAAAAGGAATAGGGAAGCTGTAAAGCTTTTCAACATGGTAAACATTTACTGACATTTTACTATACAGTAAGTCTTCACTATGTTCTTGGAAACTGAGACTTTAAGTGAAATAATGCATAAAAAAATCCAATTTTACCATAGGCTGGTTGATAAAGATGAGAGTTAATTTCCTATGGCATATTTCTAGTCACAAAACATCACCATAGCTGGGAGTGGTGGCTCAAAGTAATTCCAGGACTTTGGGAGTCGAGGTAGGCAGATCACCTGAGGTTGGGAGTTCAAAACCAGCCTGGCCAACATGGTAAAACCCCAACTGTACTAAAAATATAAAAATTAGCTGGGTGTGGTAGGGCACGCCTGTCATCCCAGCTCCTCGGGAGGCTGAGGCAGGTGAATCAATTGAACCCAGGAGGTAGAGGCTGCAGTGAGTGGAGATCGTACCACTGCACTACAGCTCAGGGGACAGAGCAAGACTCCATCTCAAAACAAAAACAAAAGTATCACCAAACTTCTAAATAAAGACCCAAAACACTTCTAATAGTAAATACCGAAATAAATGTGAGCTATATATACATCTAAGAAAGAATGATATAAACAAGTAAGATAATCATTTACCCAATTTTTAGTGAATTATTAGATATCAGTGGTTATAGTGGTGGTGAATTAAATCCATAAATAAATGTTTGCAAAGTGAAAACTGTAATAAGTACCTCCTCCTACCATGAAGTTCAAACATAAACAATAATAAATGCTGCAAGCTCACTGAGAGCTTTTGAATTGCATTATCATCTACTTTATGAGTTTTTATTTCACAATAATTTGCATTCATTCATTTTCTAACATGCTTATTCCAGTTCAGGATGGAGGATGGTCAGAGACTATCGTGGCTGCTCTGGGTGCAAAGCAGGACATCCTGGACAAGATGCCGTTCCATCTCAGGGCACACTCACACACACCCACTTAGACTGGGACCACTTAGACATGCCAATGCATCAAGTATGTACATCTCTGGGATATGAGAGGAAACTGGAATACTCAGGGAAAACTCAAACAGACAGGAAGAATGTGAAAACTCCACACAGACAGTGGCTCTAGAGGGAAATTGATTAGCTCCTGCTCATCAATGTTATAACAAAATGATGTTGAACAAAATAACACAATTGAGACAAGTGGGTGGAATAGGTGAAATCACATATAAGAATCTTGGGGAAACATGGGAAAGCAGATACAGAAGTAACATATAGACTTTAAAAACAACATAGTACCTTTCTCCAATATTTTCACCTGTTTTAGTTACAGTATTTAATGTTCTGAAATTCCAAATAATATTAAGATAAGGCATGTGTTAAAAGAAAAAGAGAGGCCGGGTGTGGTGGCTCATGCCTGTAATCCTAGCACTATGGGAGGCTGAGGCGGGTGGATCATCTGAGGTCAGGAGTTCGAGACCAGCCTGGCCAACATGGAAACACCACCTCTACTAAAAACACAAAATTAGCTGGGTGTGGTGGCACATGCCTATAATTCCAGCTATTCAGGAGACTGAGGCAGGAGAATTGCTTGAACCTGGGAGGCAGAGGTTGTAGCCAGCCAAGATCAAGCCACTGCACTCCACCCTGGGTGACACAGTGAGACTCAGTCTCAAAAAAAAAAAAGAAAAAAAAGAAAAGGAAAAAAAGGTTGGGAAACACCAGT